TTCTGCTTCTTGGTCTATTCCTTCCTTACCCTCTATCCTTGCCGCAACTTCAGCGCTCATCAGCACATGCAACCACAATCAGGTAGTACTCAAGTATCCTCTCCTGCGGCTCTCTCTCTCTCTCTCTCTCTCTCTCTCTCTCTCTCTCTCTCTCTCTCTCTCTCTCTCTCTCTCTCTCTCTCTCTCTCTGCTACTACTTGGATAGTAACCCTGGATGCATCCGCTCTACCTTAACTGCAACGTCAGCTATGGCAGCTATGGAAGCCTTCTTGCCCCTTCTCCTTCGGCCCTCAACATGGTGGTGCACTGCCAAGCAGGTCCTCTGGAGACTGACGCAGAGGCCAAGCTGTGACGCCGCACAAGCAACCAGCAGCGCTTCCGCAACTCACGCAGGACAATGAATGCTGTGAGCTGCACTGTAGCAGCTATTAATAATTGCTTGACTTGGCCTTGGTTTGCTTCTGACGGGTACCGGTCGCCCACGGCCTGTCTGCTGCATGAATTGTGGTGGCCCGCAACCTTCCAGACTTGTCCTGGGGTGCTGCTGCAAAATTGGACTTTTCTTGTCGAGTACCGGTTGCGGCGGTTGGACTTTTACCGGTCTTCCTGCACCGTCTGTACGGTACCGGTCCTACATCGACTTGCGACGCTTTCAGCCTCCTATGGACCTAAGGACCCTAACGACCCTACCGGGCCTCATCTACTGGGACTGGTGGGACTGGGCCCAACTGGTCCTGGGACAATTTGGGACCCTGTAGCCGGGACTCGGGTGTCCGCAACGTGAAATCCTTTCATTTTAACCAAATATCTTCATGTTGATGTATTGCAGAAAAATTCAATCCAAAAGAATAATGTGTAAGCTATTCACCCTTAGCTATTCTTCTTTGAACTTCTTTTCAACTCTTGTCAGTTTCGATTGCCTGCCACTCATCAAGTTGCAATTTTGCACCTGTCTGCCTCCTTTCCTTTTCGAAATCTAAATTGGCTTGTTCCTCCCCAACCCTCCTTCCTCCCAGAAATATGAGAATTCAGACAAGTACCTTGACGATGAGGATGCGGACGATCCTGTTAGGTTGCGTTCGCTGCCGAGCAACAAGGAGTGGCAACAAGCACGAAAAGAGGCGAAGAAGCAATGGAAGGGGACATAATTTGTGAGACGCAAGGCCGCGTGTCACTAATCGAATCTCTATTAAATTTGAGTTCACGGTGCGGTTCCCTTTGACAATGTATGCAATGGAGCCAAGGAGTCAATGGGGGTGCACCGCATCCGAGCATGATTGAGACTGAGGAAGTGGGGGTGCGCCAGGGGTAATTGACGAAAAGGGGGGTGGGTGGGGTCTCATGATGGGGAGGACCCATTTATTATATTACACCACTAGAATCTCTATTAATTTTTTTAATAGAGTTCACAGTGCCATTCCCTTTCTGTGAAATGGAGCCAAGGGGTCAATGGGGTTGCACTGGGTCCGAGCATGATGGAGACTGAGGGAGTGGGGGTGCGCCAGGGGTAATGACAAAAAGGGGTTGGGTTTGGGGTCTCATCAGGGGGAGGACCCAGTTGTTATATTAACAAAAATGAGATAGAAGGCCACAACATATTTTCGTTTGCAATGCCTTTCATCTCCTTTTCTTCCGTCACGATGATGAAGCTGCCAGAGGGTCTATGAAGATGTGCTGCAATTTTTATTTTTATTTTCCTCTTTTTTAATAAAAAAGAGGTTGTGCAGGCTTTGCTGCATTGCCCCTGGAATGCTTTTGTGGTTTTTGAAAGAAATCATTATGTGGGAAGAATAGATGCATGGCAATTCGGGAAGAAGTCTGTCTGCTCTCTCCTGGTTACTTGCTTGCTTGGATCTATCAAGTGAAGTTTGAATCTTCTTAAACCACCAGTACTTGGCCCAGCTATCGGTGGCAGAACAAAGATATAGTAGAACTGTAGAAGAAACGTTTCTCGTCGGATGAATTTGGGCGCTCCTGTGGTGGCCCGTACGTTTCCTAAAATTGTGGCTTGTGAACGGGCACAACTTTAGCAAGTACTGGTGGTTTGACGGCTCTCTGCAAGCTTGCTCCTACTGTAACATCAGTTCTTCACAAAACCGATCACATATAGCATTTAGTTTTCCACCACGAAAATGAATGCTTGCTAATTGCTAATAGCTCTGTTTAAATGCAACTGTGATCAGGTTCGATGACACCGGAATAATACGGTTCGGATAAGATCAGATAAGATGAGAGATCCGGTCAGATCAGAGATCTGATCAAAGCTTAGATGGCACCTGCTCCATGTCAGTGCCATTGAGCAACTCTAGCAATGCCATAAAATGAAAATGAAAATGAAAATGAAAATGAAAATGAAAACGAAAATGAAAATGAAAATGAAAATGGAAGTGAATGTGAAAGTGAAAGTGAAAATGAATGCTGGTGAAGGGTTTTGACTTTTGAGACTTGATTTCAATCCTCAAGGGGGGGGTCTCGCAGTCTTTGTGTGTTTGTCCTTCTATAATTCTACTATCTCCCGTAGGCTGTATAGCATGTTGTACGTGCAGTTCTTGTATGAGAAGCGAAGGTCAATAGCAATGCATTTTCACCATCCCCTCCACATGATCTTACAGTAGGAGAGAAGTGGTCATATAGACTGATATTTTGTTACTTGCTTATTACATTGAAGAACAAAGAGATTGGTCTTTTCAGCAAGAACTTCAAGAACAAGGATTCTGGGTCATGTAAACAAAAAACACGCACAGAGACAGACACACGAAAGAGAGTTATGACCAATGTTTCAACACTTTTGTCGTTATGACAACGCTTTCCTACACAACGAACTTGCAGGAACCACGGCAATCGTAGTTCATTTGGCGAATGCCCACAAGTCAACACATCCCTGAGAAGACAATGAAGAGGGACTTCATTGCTTCGGGACAGGAAGTGAAACGACAAAAGTGTTGAAACTTGAAACATCAGTCAGTAGTGCGAAAACATCAGTCAAAAGTTCAAAGCTAGAATTCCCACTTCCTTCGTGCCTTGCAAAATCATACAAATGTAGACAGACTTAGAGCCAAACCACTTTTGTTATGAACTGACAATGAGATGAGATGAGATATCCCCCCCTCGTACAGTCTGGCCGACCGTACGGCGGTCCTCATCCCACCATTTCCAATCATATACTCCTACCCATCATCCATACTCTATGTACTTAGCTAGTTTTCGATGTAGAAATTTGATGCTGCTGCTTCTCGTAGCGTCCGCCGTCCAGAGTGCATGCACACCCATATAGCTATTCCCATGAACATATGCCTCTGCGCTCACAAGCATCTTCAAAAACAGAGCGTCCGCCGTCCAGAGTGCTTGCACACCCATAGCTATTCACACGTGCCTCTGCGCGCTCACAAGCATCTTCAAAAACAGAGGATGGTATTGCACCATGGCTTCTTCGTTCATGCACTTGTCAGCGTTGGACTCCTTAGCTTCCTGCCACTAGCAGTTCCGCGACCAGCTACAAATTGCTGGAAAGTACACTGGCAGAAATTTACACATTGTAAGGTTAGTTAGCATCTTCTTCTTCTCTGTATCTTGTGCTTGTGCGGAGCGACTATTGTTTCAGGGCTCATCACATGGGAATTGCAGCAATTGCAATTATCATCACCAGAACTCACACATGCCGCTCTTATTCTTGCTCGGAAGCCAGGCCTCTAAGGCAAAGCTGACAGAGTGCCACACTGAACAGTGAACTCGCCAATCCAGATCATCGAGCTTCTTTCCACTCTCCGTTCTCCCGTTCGTCCGTCCATTCGTCCGTCTGTCCATCCCTCCCTCCCTCCCTCTCGTTCAATCTCTCTCACACACCAAGTTGAAAGTGTTCTCTCTCCCGACAAGAAGGGATGACGCATTTCCCCATGCTGACCCATGCAGCTGCATTGGATGTTCTCTGTGCAAGGCAATCAAAACACGGGGACATTACTCACGGTAAGACTCTTTGCACTGCTGCCTGCCACAAATCACGGTCAGATACGTCAAGAATGTCCCGCGTGGGAACATGCGCTAACTTTCCTGAGACGCTGTGGCATGCAGTTATATAACCCGAGGCCTCACGGAACTGCATATGTCTGGAGAATGATGTCCTTGTAGACGGGACTTCACAGCGCATTGCTGCAAACAGGGAGCACTTCAGAGTTCTAACAATACCTAAAAAGCGCGAGTGGCACATAATACGCGTATTCATCTCTCGGAACTGCATATGTCTGGAGAATGCTGTCCTTGTAGACAGGACTTCACAGGACATCACTGCAAACAGGGAGCACTTCAGAGTTCTAACAATACCTAAAAAGCGTGAGTGGCACATAATACGCGTATTCATCTCCAGCCCTAGAGTTACGCTAACACATTAAACTGAGAAACAATAGTATAACACTGAAGAACCCAAAATAGTAAAATATACACAATGTTCACAAACATGATAAGCAGTAGTCGTAATATGTGCACATTCTGTGAACGCGTACAAGACCTGCACATTGTGCGAACACGTACATGTCGAAGGGGCTGACGGATTTTTCAAGCTTCAAGGAAAACAACCCAAACAGAAAAGAGAACAAGGATTAGACCTTGGACAAATGGAAGGGACCTAAGGACCATGTTGTACTAGGCTGCAGTGTGCTTGCACTCTGCTGGCATGGACCTGGACCAAGTCAGGTTTGTCTGACCAGGTTGCGGTCTATGCCCTATACCAGGCATGGACCTGGACCAAGTCAGGTTTGTGTCTGACCTGGTTGCGGTCTATGCCCTATACCAGGCATGGACCTGGACAGTCCTCGTCCTGGTCCATTCTACAACAGGTTTCAGCCTACTGTGACATCTGCACGGATTAACCCTCCCTCGCTGTGTCAGGTTTATGCCTTGTTCAGCGCATAGACAAGGCACGCAGTTGGTCAAGAGCAGCTTTACCTGAGTCGTGCCTCCCAAGTAAGCGTTTTCCTACGCACGTGACGACGAACAAATATGCTTTGACGGCAAATTGACGTCCACTTGTCGAGTGATTTCCAGGACAGGAACTTCCTTGTCATCACAACGGGGCAGCCAGAAAAGGATTCCCTCCCTTCCCCGCCGTAGGCTTGTAGTGCCAAATCCAGCCAAGCGCGTCCTGTCGCAAACTCAATGTGGAAAGCAACTTGTCCTTCAAATCCAAAACCAGACGCATGTCTGGTGAGGAGTGAAGTCGGCAAAGAAGGGGCAACATTCAGAAGCGTGAATGTAGCCCTCGAGGAAACCAACAATACTGTTCATCAGTCAGTGTTTGTCCAGTGCTGACAGCTCATCATACAACTGCATTCATTCAACAAGCCCAAGGAACACACAACAATGTTCAAGTACACAGTCAGAATTGCACGGTTTTTTTTTTGTCCTTTTTTTTTACCGGGATCAGAATACCTTTTTCGGTTTTCAACTTTTTCTAAAATTTTGTCTGAAAAAAAAGAGGGTAAAAGAGGGTACCTCTTTTGTTCTTGGTCTTCCAGTGAGGACACTGCTGGCACCATAATCATTACATAATACGTACCCTACAAGTTTACAAAATGAAGGAGGAGTACCTGTGTAGCACAGCGAACATGTTCGGCGCCCCACTGAGCAGCAGAACATGTGCGGACGCTCCGCCGAGCGGGAACCGAACCTGTTCGGCCGAGCGCAAATTAGGGGGCTGCCGAGCACGTTCTTGTGTGTGTGTGGTGTGTGGAGTGTGTGTGGGGTGTGTGGTGTGTGTGTGTGTGTGTGTGTGTGTGTGTGTGTGTGTGTGGTGTGTCTGTGTGTTCAGGAATGATCCCCCCCAGGGCCCCCAACCCTTATATATATATCGTCACAAACAGAACTGCTCGGTAAACCGTAGGCAGAGAGAGAGAAGAGGACTACAAACGAGGGGCTGTGACAAAATGTTTCATCGGAGTTTCACCGACTCATCAGGAGGCTGAACCCTCAACAGTCTGCAGAATCCCCTCACTGATTACACTGTAAATGATAATCTACCTTAACCAAAATCAAAGTAGACTATCACTCACC